TCTAGGAAAAGCAGGACCAGGGTTTGAACTTAATGTCTGTCTGACTCCAGTCTGCTCAGCTCTTTAGTGCTTATAAGTCCTCTGATTGTCTCGTTAATTATTAGTACTTTTTCAAGAGCTGGAAATGAGATATGAGAGAAAATAAAAAAGTCTTGAGAATTAAACTGAAATACAGAAATTCTCCATTACCTGCTATGTACAAAGGAGGTCCTGGTTACATACCATGTGTGTGATGTGGGTACAAATGTCATGGAAATAGAATTTGGAGTAGGGGAGACAGAATTATATACAAATGATTGTAATAAACACAAGCCTGGATCATGTGACATGTTATCATTGTTCATAAGACAACAGGGAAAATAAGTACTGGAAGGGAATGAGAAAACAAAGACTTRAATCTAATTTTTGTCACTTGCAGTTATAAGAATGGATCAATAAAAATTTCAACAGGAAAAATGGGGTTCAAATAAGTGACTCAATGAGAGTACTTCTTTGAGAGATATTAAGGAGGGTAAGAATGGTAATTTATCTGGACACTATCAACAGTGAATGCTGATAATACAGCTGGATTTGAAGGACCAGGGGAGGAAAGAGTGTTACCAGACTTCAGTAAGAACTGGCATCATAGAAAGGGTAGTGGGGTGGGCACCTTATAGGAGCTGTACTTGTGAAGAGGCACTGTTACTACCAGAATCCAAGACCCTGAATATTGGGGGGAATAGAATAAAAATACCCTGACTCCATCCTTGGGCTTTTGGATCTCCTGCTGTGCCTCCTATCCACTAAGCCCTCCCAGAAACCAACCTACCAGGGAACCCTGAAGAGGTTCACAGGGACCRTTTGTCAACCAGAAGCAAGGGTCTGAGGAAAGGAGATGGAGAATAACCATGAAGGAAGTCACTTGCTCTTCCTACATTTCAGTTTGCTTATTTATAGCTTATTAGTAGCTGATTTTATAATTTTTACTTCCAACTCTTTATTTTGAAAAAATTMACACTTACAAAGAATTTTTAAAAATAGTACCATGAACACACACACATATATATTATTTACCTACATTTATCATTTGTAAACATTTTTTTCTGTTCTTTTATTCTTTTTTTCCTTTTGCTGCCAACATGAAAACACACACACAAACACACACACACACACACACATTTTTTACTGAACCACTTGTGAGTTACTTAAATCCTGAATACTTAAGTATCATCTAAAAATAAAGATATTTCTCTATGTAATACAATGTCCAGACTCAGGATTAACATTAAATCAGTGCTATTATCACATATAGTTCATTCTCAGATTTTCCGAAGATTCACGGATGTGCATAGTCAAGGATCACACTTTGAATCATCACTCTTCCTAACTCCTCTTTAGAGTCATTTTCCAGCCTTTTTCTCTTATAATATTTTATGATTTTAACAAGTTTGAGGAAATGTAGTTCCAGGCYTATAGTAATGCAGACCATAGATGTGTCAGATTATTTCTTCATTATCAGTTTAAATAATATTGGCAATAATACTATGGGGACAGTATGTCTTCCTCAGTGCAGTGCATCTGGAGGTACATGATATCATAATGTTTCATTATGGGTGATCTTCAGGTGGATCACTTGGTTAAGTTATCTTTTCCCATTTGTAATTAGCAAATAATCTATGGGGGTTCTATACATGAGTATATCTTTTCCTCCAACATTCTTTCATCCAGTGGTCTTTACAACCATTTAATTTTCTTGCTGTGACAGAAATTGTTTCATAAAAGCACAATTAGGGAACTTAGTAGGATTTCTTTAAAAGTTCCTGTTTCAACACTCATTTCTTCTTGTGTTAAACTGTTTTCATTCATTTATCTATTCTTTTAACAAATGGGTACACAGAGTGTTCATTTGATGACTTGGACTGCCAAATTTTCATCAGTAGCTTTATGGTTGCTTAAGCTAGTGTCTTCAGATCTTATCTCTTGGTGCTCCAGATTCCTATTGGCAACTGCTTTTGGATCTCTCCACAGATGCCATACACTCAACACACCCAAATGCAAGTCACCAGGTTCACTTCACATGCTTTCCATGTTCTATATTCCAGTAGTTCTGTCTTCTCAGTAACTCTGTAATAGGGAAGGATTCTTCAATATTTGAGTGCCCAGACATCATATGAGACCTTTTCTACATGTGACACGCATTACCTAAGCCTTTACTTTAGGGTAGTGATTAAGAGAACCATGGGCTTCAAATCTTGGTTCCATCAACTATTGTAGGGGATTGAATGAGTCATTGTAACTGTCAATGTCARAAGGGAGGGGGCAGGGGGTTGGCAATGATGGTGGAATGTGATAGACATCATTATCCAAAGAACATGTATGAAGACATGAATTGGTGTGAACATACTTTATATAAGAGATATGAAAAATTGTGCTCTCTATGTGTAATAAGAATTATAATGCATTCYACTGTCATGTATTTAAAAAATAAAATCAATAAAAATTAAAACTAAAAAAAATAAAACAGGGAAAATAATGACTCTTTTATTATATGGGTATTATGAGACAAAATTTTGCAAACATTTGCTCAGTTCTTGACAGCACCATAATGCCTCCCAAGACATAAATCTGTGTCACCCTAAATTTATCCTTCCAGTCACTGATTTACAGAGCAGTCCCTTAGGGACAATATCTCCATAGCTGCCATTACCTTAGTTTTGGCCAGGGGTTGACAAACTATAACCCATAGGTCAAATCCAGCCTTTAGCTATTTTTGTAAGTTTTATTTGTATGTAGCCACGCCCATTTTAGAAAGTATAATCTACGGCTACTTTCGCCCTGAAGTGGCAAAGTTGAGAAGGGGCAACAGAGACTATATGGTCTATGTCATGATATCTGGCCCTTTACAGAAAAAGTGTTCCAACTTTTGGTGCTTGGGGTATCAGTAGTTGCCTTCCTGGTTTTCTTGGTTACATCTTTTTTTGCGGGGGTAGTATCTGGGACTGAACTCAGGGGCACTCAACCATTGGGCCACATTCCCTAGTTACCACTTGTTCCTTCTTGAATCCACCTGCCCAAGCTTCCTTTCTGTGCAAGGAGGGATTTCCTAAAAATGAGAACTCAACTGTGCCAATTTGCTCTTTGGGCTTCAAACTGGCCCTCACTGACTGCTAAGGACATCAGCTTCTACCTACTAGTTTTGTCCTCTGGCTGTCATGAGCTCTTCCTGTCCTTTTCAACCTTGGCACATAGGCAGGCTTGTCCTTAATAATTAGCTCAGGAAGAATACTTTTCTTCCTCTAAGAAGCCCTTTCTGATGTCCTCAAACCAAACCAAAAGCTTCCACTCCTCTGTGGCCAGTACAGTACCTCAAATCTAGCATTTCTCCCAATCTACTACAATCATAGGTTTAGCTGTCATTGCTGTGGGCTTCTCCTGAGGGCAGGAATATATATTTTCCCCTTTTAAATCTCCGGTGCCTCGTCTTGGGTCTGGCCCTTATTCAGTGACCATTAGGCTTGCCATCGCTTGTTGGCATTTGGCTGAAGTTTGAAGAGGCAGGTCATGAGAAGCTTCCGGAAGGAGGTGACAGCTTAGTAAGTACTGGAGAATGAGAAGGAGGGGAAAAGGAGATAAGGGGAGAAGACAGGCAGTAGGGAGCTTGGCATAGAAGTGATGATCCTTGAAAGAAGCATGTTGGAGAAATGAGAAGCAGAGGAAGGGGACATGTGAGGTAAGGCTGGAAGATAGGCTGAAAAGGGAAGCATTAGGTTCCTGTCCTACAGGAGCCTCCTGTGCTGAGGTGGGAGGAGAACAGGAAGCCACGGAAGAACTGCAGTTGGCAAATGCCATATTCCGTGTTGTAACGGTCTTTTCACACGTCAGTCTTCTAGAAGTCCCTTAAACAGCAAGATTGTTTTTGTCTTGTCATCAGCCCATCCTAAGTGCACACAATTCCTCACATGTTATAGGTTGTCAGTAGATGTTTCTTTCTTCTTTTGAAATGTATGAATGCTCCCCGGATTGCAGGAGGGAGTCCTTGATGTTTAGTATTCTAAACAATGCATTTGAAATATTTAATATGTTAATACAAAATACCTAAATATTGTAAATGCTAAATATTCTAAAAATTTAGCATCCTAAATTAGATTTCCATCTAATAATTTATTAGATGAAACTTTGTCCCATCAAGCTTTTTTTTTAAAAATATATTTATTTGTTTATGTGTTGTTGAGGATCGAACCCAGTGTCTCACACATGGTAGGCAAGTGCTCTACCACTGAGCCCCAATCCCAGCCCCCACCCCCATCTAGCTTTTATAAATCTAAGAATTCAGGTTGTATCTGTCCTTAGCTTTTGTATTTTATGTTTAAAAATTCTTATTAGAAAAAAAAATCTATCCTCTATGGAAGTTTTTAATTTCTTAGATCATTTTGGTTAACTTTTTTCTGGACTTTTCCAACTTCATTTTGTCTTCAAGTAGGCTTTTAAGAATATCTGGATTCTTTCTTAATCTGAAAAACCAGAGACATTTTTTCCTGCCTTTTTTTTGTTTTGTTTATTTCTTGTGATTTTGGTATTTTCTTTCACTAAAGTGCTAAGTGGGATTAGGTGAAATAAATTCTTATTTGTAAAGTATGCCAAAGGATTCTTAAAAATGATGGTGCCTCACAGATTGAAAGCAGAGTTCTTATTAATGATGTCCACAGACAAATTCTGTCATTAGCTCAGAGGGCCCAGCAGTTTTGGATTGTCAGTGAAATGACTGGGCTGGTAAGATGGATAAAATTGGGATTTAGGGGGACCCTGCTCTCCAGGAAATTCTCCAAGTCTTAACTTATCCAGATCCCTAAAGTGAACATGAAGCTTCAGTTTCAAATTGAATACATTTTTTTTCCATCCATGGATTGGCTTGTTTTGTTCAGTTTTACTTTGAGTATTTGAGGTTGTCTTTTCGACGTAGTAGTTAAACCCACGACTTCCTTTCTCGTAAAACCAAAACAAAAAGGCTTTCTATTTAGGCGCCTTCTGGGTGTGCACATGTGTAATACACACCTGGGATCAAAGCTGTCTATAAAAAGTCCTTGATTCTGTGTGGGTTCAAACATATTTCAAAGCTTCAGGATCCTGAAAGGTTTCACTCTGCTTCCTAAGGACCTGGACGTGGCTCCCGTAAAGCAATGGCTTGCCTTGGATTCCAGAGGCCTGAGGCTGGCTTGGAGCCAGCTCCCAGGGCCTGGTCCTGCACTGCCCTGCTTTCTCTTCTCTTCATCCCCATCTTCTCCAAAGGTGAGTGGAGATTTCTGGAGCATGAAGGTGGAGGAGGTGTTTCTCCCACCTGGGTTTCATTTCTTTCAGCAGTTCAGGGCAGTGATTTATAGCAGAAACAAAAGGTAAAGGTGAATCTCCTGTCCCCTGGCCTGGGTGGCTCTGTGTTCCGAGGCAAGCAGGGGACAGGTGGAAGCAGCCAGTAAGCAAAGCTATAGCTCATTGCAGAGTACCAGGTTTTTAGCAGGGGCTGAATGAACACATGTGAGTTGGTTTGGGAGACATGGGCCATTTCAGACTCTTCAATAACATTAGAAAAAAAAATACTCTAAAATTAAATGATTTAAAAGGGAAAAACATCCACAGTCCTAAATGCGTGTGAGCTTGGTATCAGGGAATTTCAAGATTTCCCTCTTATAAAAATGGATTTAGGCAAATCACAGGAAGTGTTTCTTTTCTATATAATTCAAAGCTTTAAGGTCTTCTAATTCATTAATTTTATACGCTAATTAGCTAACTTTTTTAAAATTTAAGGAAATTTTGGGAAGAATGCCTTCATTATTCAATTCAAGGTCCTAAAGCAGATCCTGTTGATTTTATTAACCAGTTAGCCAATTATTTATAGATTTTTTTGCCAATTTTATAAAATAAAATAATTAAAAATGAAAGAAGCAAGGAAGAAAAAAGGGAAAAGGGAAAAGAGAGAAATGGAGGAAGGAAATAAGGAAGGAAGGAAGTCATCAATCTTGTTTGGCGTAAGATGCTCAATTGCCTGACCTACATGTGCATTTCAGAGGCAGACCTTTAGTTTCAGATAAAATAAAGCTCTTTAGAGATCGGTACCCAGTTTGTTCCATGGCTTGAACTGATGAGTGCTTCCATTGAATCTCAACTTTCTCTCTATCTCTCTCTCTCCAGACATTTTTAGTTAAGAAAACTGTGTGGTTAGTATGAAGGAGGTACTCAAAAGATATTTGATGATTTAAATTTTATTGGAAAAGAAATAGTCATGTATACTTTCTTATTTTTTATATTTTGAATATGTTGAGATTAATGCCATTGGAAGTATTTCAATTTCCTTTTTAGGAAATTTATCTCATCCTGTAAATAGGCTCCTCACATGTTGGATATTGGAAAATGTGACCAGATTTAGTGATGATAAGGACAAGCTTACCTGGGGGAGGGCAGGAAATTCGGTCCTGTTTAGGCTTGGAGTTGATACAATCAAGTGTTCATTGGGCAGTATATACCTACTGCTCCCAGGCACTGGAGGCAGAAAAGAGGGGAGATATGATTAGCTCACAAAAAAGTTAATTTGGGGCAGAACTTCTTAAACACTGCAGTGGAGTTACTATAGGAAAAAGGATGCTCAGAGGGCATCTCTGATAGGAAGAAATAAAGTTTGGGAAGGCGACTCTTGTCTTATCAGCTAGGGATGCTGGAATAGCAATGGTAATGGCTGCTGCCATATTGTTGTCTTTCCTGAGGACAAATGTTGTCCTGTACAGGTGCTTGGGGGAAGGGACTAGTTTGTCTACTACAGGGTGATTTATAGACAGAAAAGGGTGTCTCAGAAACTTCAACCCCCAATGGAAGATTGGAACTGCATAATGGAGGACATTGAATGTTTTTTTTATTTTATTTGCTTTTGCAATCCATGTTAGTAAAGCATCAAAGTGTTTGAGCTGATGAGTGAATGACATTGCTTAACTTAAATTTTGGATATCACTTTCAATATTGACTGGAGAGAGGCCTTATTAATTACAAAAAAAGGCTAATTAGACATAAAGCCACTGTTTTTTTAGATGTTGGAAGCCTCTTTGTATGGAGAAATGGCCTCCCGTATCTTGTAGAAGAAGAACAAAAGAGTAGGAGAGCCTTCAAGTGAAGGAGAGAGGGAGGGTGGAAGAGGTGGTGATAGTAGCAGGGGAAGCCCACAGAAGTTAACAGCAGGGTTGCCTCAACCCAGAGAGGAAACGACCTGGTGCCCTTGGCTCTGTGGCTTCCTCATCTAACAGCACATGCCATGGTACAGCAATAAAGCCAGGGAAGAGGTTGGATAGTGCAGAGAGCCCAGGTTCTGCTGCTCCTGGGTAGTAGAGTACAGAGTCAGTTAGATAAGCAGCAGGAGGTTTTGAGGTGTGCTTTGAGAGATTAGACAAGATTCTGTGCTTCACCCTCCAGAAATTACCCTACTACTCATATTAGAGTCGCTGAGCTGTGTAGTTCTATTATAACCTTAGGATTCTGGAGTATGTAGGCACTTTGATATTGTGTGGTCTACTCCCCATCTTACTATATGTGAAAAAAATGAAGGGGAGGAGTGACTTTCCAAAATGACATATTTTATGATAGAGCCAGGTCTCTAACTTATCACATTAGCGCCCTTCTTGCCATGACTACCTGTCTTCAAGAAATTATATCCCATTGAGGACCCATCTTTAAGGGGCATAGCTGGAAGACGGCTGAGTGATGGAAGGGATGGATGGTGAGGGAGAGGGTAAGGGAAGGTGGTGGGCTTGTTGAAGGGGGAGCTACGGACTGGGAGGTGAAGCCGGTGGGGGCTCATCAAAGATAAACCTTGCCAGGTGCTTGGATTGGGCCAGGGATGCACCTGAGTTCATTGAGTTTTCTTTGGCCTTTCCATGTTAGCGATGCACGTGGCCCAGCCTGCGGTGGTGCTGGCCAGCAGCCGGGGAGTTGCCAGCTTTGTGTGTGAGTATGCAGCTTTTCACAAAGCCACGGAGGTCCGGGTGACAGTGCTGCGGCAGATAGCCAGCCAAGTGACTGAGGTCTGTGCCACAACGTACACAGTGGAGAATGAGTTGACTTTCCTAGATGACTCTAGCTGCACTGGCACATCCAGTGGAAACCAGGTGAATCTCACTATCCAAGGACTGAGGACTGCAGACACCGGGCTCTACATCTGCAAGGTGGAGCTCATGTACCCACCACCATACTACATGGGCCTGGGCAACGGAACCCAGATTTATGTCATTGGTAAGCAAAGCCACTTCACCAAGTTGACACTTTGCATTGCTGTCTTTGTACAAGAATAGTTTGTTCCTTAATTTCAAGGTGATTCATTTTTAGGATTTATGAAAATACTCCTTAAGAGTTCTCTCCCATACAATTATTCTGAACGCAAAAGAAGATGAGTTGGGGAAGGTGCTTTTCTCCTGTTAACAGAGTGATATAGTACTCACTCTGTTAGATCCATCATGAAGTTTGGCCTTGTGCCTTTGATCTAACACTCTGAGGACGTAGTCATATCTGTGGGCTTACCAATACAATTTAGGGCTAAACTGCAAGATCTAGAAGCTCCAACTTCTTTTCACTCTTGGGGGAAGCAAGGCCTGAAAGTTTAAAACTATCTCAGGGAGGCTCTGCTTTGTTTTCTGTTGCAGAACCAGAACCATGCCCAGATTCTGACTTTCTTCTTTGGATCCTTGCAGCAGTTAGTTCGGGGTTGTTTTTTTACAGCTTTCTCGTCACAGCTGTTTCTTTGAGTAAAATGGTGAGTGTGATACTGACCAGGCTCCATGATTAATGGGGTTGTCTTCAGTGTTATCTACTGACCAAATGTTGGTGTCAGATTCAATTTTTTTTWAAAAAAATATATGAAGCAATAAATGAAGAGGAGGAAGGACAGTGGTAAAGAACACAGTAGCACTAAGCATTGGCCTTTGAGGTTTCAGGATGACTAAGATTGCAGATGAGTGTGTTTGACATTGAATGTTTGTGTGCTTCTGAACAGGGTTTCAGTTTGAGTAACTGAACAATATGGGGCAGCTGTTTTGTTCTTTACCTTCATGACATTTATACTTGAGTTAATAACCCTGAAATACTTATAGATTAAGTTGGGCCACATGTTGCTAGTGAGGATCACCTGGATTGGTTTCTATTCTCCTCCTAAATGTCCTGTACTTCGCCTGGAAACCATATTCTGGTGCCATACTTATGCCCTCCTTGTCTGAGCTGTAGCTGCCCCTGTTATCCAGTCTAACATACATAGATGTCTTGGTCTCCACTCCAGTTCAGAAAATGAAAGTCCCCGTTATTATTTACTACAATGGTTGATGGTGGAGGAGAGAGAAGTATGGAATCAGGACTCCTGTCAAGATTCCTAACAGTTTGTTTCAGTCAACTTTGTCTAAAGCTGACTTTCCCATCACAAATTCATTTTCTCTCCTTCTTTTTCCTCCTCCTCCTCCTCCTTCTGGTTCCCCTTCCCCTTTCCCTCCTCCTCTTCCTCCTCTGCCTTCCCCTTCCCCTTCTCCTCCTCCTCCTCCTCCTTCTCCTCCTCTTCTTGCTGTCCCCCTCCACCACACACATACGAAAATGAAGACACTATTCAAAGAGCCTCTACTCTACATGATAGTGATGTTTTGTTCTTATGGGTTCTTCCTGCCTCATTTGCTACAAAGTACCACACAGACTATCAGACTGGACCTCATTTGACCAAGGTGATAAAAACCTGGGAACTAGTGCAGACAGAGAAAAAGTAATAAAATGCATATGAGGACTGGAGATAAGATATGGAGCTCTTCCACAGGATAGGTAAACTTGATTATCTTATTAACTTGGTTCCTCCACAGACAAGATCTTGTCTATTATTGTAGGAATTCTGGGTGTTTTCTGTGAAGTTTTCTCAAAACCTCTTTTTTTTTTCTTCTGTCTTCCAGCTAGGGAAAATGGCTGTTCTTTTATGTCTAAATTCCAGAATTATTTATCTAAAATGAAATTTAATACCTGAATCAAGAGAATTTCCTTGACTTTCTAATTCTGTACACAGTGAACATTCATTTTCATTGGGGTAGGGACCCCAATAGGTGCTGAGAAATGTTATGGCTAGAAGTGGCTTCTATATTCTTTGATAATAATTACTGTTTCTTTTTGTATTTGACAGTTGAAGAAAAGAAGCCCTCTTACAACAGGGGTCTATGTGAAAATGCCCCCAACAGAGCCAGAATGTGAAAAGCAATTTCAACCTTATTTTATTCCAATTGAGAGACCTTTGTGAAGAAAGAAAGACTGTATTTCAACTTCTAAGAGCTGAGACAATTTTAACTTTTCTTTTCCTTTTTAACTATCCAGCTATTTTTAAAAATTTGTGGTGTATTCTGGAGAGGAATTTGTCTTGCTTTAACATAAAGCTGGATATAGAACTCACATTAAACATACTACAATTTAAATCAAAGGAGCAAGAAAATGGAGCCAAGATGTTTCTATCACATCAGACCCAATTTTAGCAAAAGAATCACTTGGGAGTGATGTGAGGATACAGCATTATGATGCGGGGATCAGTGAACTAAGGGAATGACAGTGCAAAGGGAGAGGACTAGACTGTACACACCTTGTATTTATGAGTGAGATGTTTGTAGCTGAAATGATCTTTAAAATTTTTTTTTCTGTGTTATTTCTCTTAGCAAATATATAATTACATGAAGTTTTTTTTTAAAAAACATTCACTTGACTATGTTTTAGCCAGTGATTCCAAAGGTTATATTGTACCAATATGTATTTTTTAAAATAGTATTGTGCATGAAGGTTACATGTGCTTTTGTGTATTTGGTAATGGTTTGAATATAAACACTATATGACAGTGTCTTCCCACTATGGGTTCTGGGGGAAGTTTGTGGAGGATCTCAGGACACTAATACACCAGGTAGAAGACAGTCACTTGCTAACTAGCTTGGAAACTAGGTGAGGCTGTGGCAGTATTCAGATGCACTAAATTGGTGTTGACATGAGCTTTGAGGTTTTATAACAGCTTCTTTTAATGATTTATAAGGAAGCCAAAACTGGGGTATGTGTGTTAACCTGAAAGGACACTGTTGTCAAGACAGTGGCTCACTCCAGGAAAGCCATAGGCATGACCTTCTAAGAAGCTCCAGTTCCATGGGCCCAATTCCTTACAGATGCATAGTTAATGCCACAGACAGAAGAAAGCAGCAGTTGGCAGAATGGGGTGCATGAAAGTTTCTGAAAACTAACATTGTTGGTGTTTTTTAACTCAATATTTTCCATGAAAATGCAACAACATGTATAATACTTTTAATTAAATAAAAGTGTTTGGTGGTTGTTTTAAAGAGTTGTCTTTATCATCCTTGTATTTGAATGTTGTGTTTGAGTTTGGTTTTGATTAGTTCAACGGTGTCTCCAATGTTAGAAGTACTGTGAAAAAAAATAGAAAGAAACAAAAGGGCAAATAATGCTTCGTAAGTCAGCCTTGCACCAGTTAATTTCCTGCAAGCCATTTTTGGGAAGATTTCTTCCTTTTCCTTTTTGATTTCTCCGATTTAGGATATAATGTGGGTTAAGACAGATTTAGTAGTTCTATAAATGTTACATGGCATGCTCTTTAACCCAGGTTCTTCACCTCCTTTTTCTTGCCCAGGGTTTTCTCAGCTCCACTCACAACTATTCCAGTTGCCATGGCAACTCCAGGATTATCATTGTGCCCCTTGCAGCCATTTTGATCTGCCTTCATGGTAACTGAAGCTTTCCACTGTGGCATCAAGTGGAGTATTTTGCAAATGTGGGTGAAACACCCCTGTCATTATATGTTGCTATCACCTGGTAAGACCGGGACCTGGCTCACAGAGGTCTTTCTGGTTCTTGGTTAACCAATTCATAGCCACAATCTACTTGGTTTTCACTTTAGGTTTCTTGTTCTTGACCTTCACATCCTGTTGTTGTCTTGCATGACTCTCAGTGTGGTCAGGGACCACCTGTAATCAAATACACTGGATCACGTAGCTCACGGATTTGTACTTAATAACCCCAGCTGCACTGAGTCAGAATCTTCGGGTGGTGGATCCAAAAGTTAACATTTTCAAAAGCTTGACCTTCTGGTACCCAATTTTGAGAATTGCTGTTTTAGGCAACTTTCTCTGTCTCTGCCTCTGTCTCAATCTCTCTGTCCCTCTGTCTCTTTCTCTCTCCTTCCTTGTTCACTCCTGATCTTTCTTTTCATTTTTCTCCCCCAGAACAAACAAATGAAATGACCCCATAAAAGTTTGTTAAATGAAAATGAATACATCTTTCAAAACAGGGTAATGGTTAATGCTTAGAATGAGTCTTTACTATGTAGAAGATTATGCTTCTTGTTCTTTTGGCCTTTGGTTGGGAACCATGAGGAAACACACAGATTAAAGAGCCCCATGGGATAGTCTGGTACCATTTCTCCTACTCCAAATGTCTTCAGAGAGATTACTTCTTTCTATATTTGATGGTAGATCAAAAGAGAGAGAGGATCTTGGACAAAGGACCTTCCAGGTACCTTTCAGATCCATGGGATAATGGCCTACTTTATGTAAGCTTAATAATCTCCTCTACTGTCACCTGAATTTCTTACATTTGCTATTCATTGTGTTAAGCATTTCCTTCTTCACTCAGTTTTGATCTTGTAATAATAGAATACTCATTGGTGCAAAGAAGTTTCTCCTGTGACAGAAGAATTGGGCAAGAAAGACTGTGACCTGATGTTTAACTGAAAGGGGAGAGAGCAAATCTGAGGCTGGGCATGACATGAAAGCTTTTTCTAAACCTAATTTTGTTTGTGAGGGTAGATCCTTCACCTGTAATATTCAGATCAGTGAACCGTCCTCAAATCAGAGGATTAATTCTCTCATGGAATTTTATCACCACCTTCATCTCAGGGAAGAGGGTCCTGGGAAATACCAAAGACTCCATGCGTCTAAGTGGAGCTTGACTCACCATGCAGGGGAATCCTGGGCACCATAACCCTCCTCTCTGGAATCACTTATCCCACACAGGAATGGGGATGATGGGAATAGGATAGAGTTACCCGGGGATGCAGGGTCAGCTTCTCTTTCTATATACTGGCCAGTCCATGCTTCTACTCATCTTCTTCCAATATGGTATGCCCAACATGGTATTTCCATCTCCCCATTTCTCCTCTCCAAATATTTTAGTCCACCATTCTCATCTCCATCAATCTCAAACTTTACCTCTACCATCATATTTGTTGATGGTTTAACCCCACCAGGATTTTTGCCTATCTGTTTTAGCTACCCCTGGTTCTACCTCTAACAATTTCAAATGTGCATGTCTTTTCTGCCCAGTTGGGAACTTTTCTGATCATAGCTTCAGGCATACAGTACATGCTGCAATAAATGGATTAAAGAGTTGGAAAGCTAGGACATCTGGGACTATGGACAACTGTCTTCTATGCAGAAGCTGTCTATGCTTTTTTAGGTGGCTCCAGTCTAATCTCTTTCCCAATTGACCAGGAGAACTCTGTGTATGACAGTCATCTTTTGGCTTAAATCTTTACGATTCTGGAATGTGAGCTCCAGCTGCTACCCAGTCCCACACATTCCACTTTTATCTCAAAAACTTTCCATTTTGGAGGGAAAATTTTCATTTTTGTTCTCTCTCGTTGGTCCTCCTTTGAACTGTGGGTTGTTGCTCAAACTGACTCTACTTTCACACCCAAGCAGAGCCTTCTTCGGTATCCATTCTTGATAAATATTTAATATTTAGCTGGGACAGAACTTGCAAACTGTTGATGACACAGTGTTGTTAATTAGAGCAAAGCCAGTTAAGATGTTTAAGAATTGATAAGTTTAAGTCATCATTTGAGAAAGTCTCAAAGCAAAAGAGAAAATGGCTTTCTCTAGAAAGTTATTCCTATTTCTCTTTTGTACCTGGTTAGAGCCAAGACTCAAGCTCCTTAGAGGTCTTGTTTTATTTTATTATTATATATATTTATACATTATATATAAGTATATATTAAATATATATTATACATATGAATATATATAAAATACATATCAGGTCAATTTTCCTTTGTCTAGTCCAGAAATATGATGCACTCTATTGGTGGAAAGGGAAAAAAGGCTATGATAGAAGTCATTGGGTAGGTTTGTCAGATTCAGCCGCCCAAAAACTATTCTAAAAAACAATCCCCCCACCAAAAAAAAAAAAAAATAATCAAACCAAGTATATCCCAGATTTGATTCTGACAGCCCTATCAACAGGAAAGTTTTCTAATTCTAATGCAGTAAGAATAAAAAGTGTGTTGAAGATTCCTCATTAGAAGTTTGTGGGTAAGAACAGTCTTCATTTGTGACCTTTGTTCCAACTCAAACATAATCTCCTGCTTTCAGTTCTGGGCATAGGTGATTGATGCTGTGTCACTGGAAATGAATGCTCCTGCAGAGAAGGCAACTATTTATCTTCTACACATTTTCTTAGAAGAAGTCAACCCACTCTGGTTCATATGGCAAGGGGCCTAACATTCAGGCCCTTCTTGGAAATCTAAGCTGTCATGGGTGTACTTCCTTATATTTATTGTTCATATGAAGAATTTTTAAAAATGTAACTGAAGCAACTCAGACATAGAACTTCCCATTTTTTATAGGATCTGAAGCCAGGCCAGGGGATTTTAATATTTCAGTGGCTTTTGGGGTTATATTTTCTAAAGCTCTGTTCTTATTCAGGAACCTACTATTACAGATGATTACAACTAAAGAAGGAATCTTGTAAATTATGCTCACACTTGAGAAGAAAATGAGGATCAGAGACATCAGGAAATGTGTTTAAAGATCACCAAATAAGGCAAGATTTGTATCAGCTGAGAAGCCAGATCTCCAGATTTTTACATACAGGTTCTGTGTCTGAAACACCATAAGCCCTCCTGTGCCAGGGACCTTCCTTTTCAATTGATTCTGGAGCATCTCTGCCACCACTCCAGGCTGATCTCAGAAAATGACTTTTCCTCCCATCCTTAAACCAAATGCTCAGGTTAAAATTCCATGTAATCATCACCACCATTGCTGGCCTAATGTTGACTCCATCTTTTCTATCTTTTCCTTCACCTTCCAGGACACCAGCAAAAGGGGCTCAGGTTAACCTGTTCCTTATAGTAATCCTACAGAAAAAGGCCAGACCACTGCCAACAGCCTGCCAGCAAAGCCTGCAGCACACTGAGAAGGCTTCCAAATTCTGCAGTAAGTCCTGTAACAACCATCAAGATGATACGTGCTTTTTATCCCACACAATCAGGTTACCATAGCAACCACTAGTGTCTCAAAAA